ATAATGGATCGATGCAATATAATATTTTTTCCCTATGATCTAAAACTTAAGATTCCACACTATCTGTATATTTCTTTTAGAACAACTTGCCTCCTATGCTTGCCTCCTATGAAAAAAATTTGGCTATTTTTTTCTTTCCTATCAATATATTTCCACCAAAACATGCAAACACACACACACACACACACACACGTACACTAACACAGCAAAGGCATATCAAGTTAATAGCTTGTCTACCATCTCGTTGTTAGTTAAAAAAAAAAAAAAACTTGGCAGTTTAGATTTTAGATACATGATTTTGGTGATGATCTCCTAGGTACTTCTCAGTTTTTTCTTTCACTCTCAATATTTTGTGTGTCATCTCAGGAAAGCTGTTCTTTAACATGTGGATAAAGCCAACATTTATGGAATAGCACAATGAGCCCACTCCACTAATAAAATCAGCTCCATGTAGATGCATTCTAGTAGTGACTTCTTTCATTCTCTGCTGCAAAAAGTTACCTCTGAAGACTTATTACTACATTTAACTACAATACACAAGATGACTTTTTTATGTCCAATCAAAGGCAAACATTTTACATCTATTTACCTGGCTTACATGGCAAATTTTTCAAATAAGGCACAGAGGATGAGCCCACGTTCAATAAACCTTAAGATTTATGTACTACCTAGCAAATATTTAAAGTGATGAGTGTACTATTGAGATTTCTATTTTGTTATATCCTGAAGAAACAATTGCATTATAGAGTTGTTCTTCACTTAGTACATAAAAGTTCTCTCAGCAAAATTTGTATCAAAGTTAATGCAAAGAATCAATATAATTCACTTCACACAGAGTCAAAAGAAGAAACAAAAATACCTAGATAAAATGATTCTCAACCAGGGAAGATTTTATTCTCTAGAGGACACTTGGCAATGTCTGGATATCATCGTAGTGGGCATCTGGTTGATAGAGGACAAGGATGTTGATAAAAATCCTCCAATGCACAGGAAATCTCCCCACGACAAAGAATTATCTGGTCCAAAATATCAATAGTGCTGCTGTCGAGAATCCCTAGCCCAGAGACAAATAAAGTGCTCTCTAGTCAATATAAATTGGCCATAGTTACTAGGATTTCAACATTATCCACTTGGGAAATGAAAGTCTTCCATCATAGCAGTATGACCGTACAACATGAATGAAATTCTCTTTTCTTATACTCAAAATCTCTACTTCCGCTCTAATCCTCAAGCCCTCGGGAAAACTATCCTTCTCAGTGCAGAAAATATGGCTAATTATTACAGACCGGCATTGAATCCCAATTTATGAACTAACAGTTTTGCACTGGCATTTTGAGTCTTGTGGCACATTGCCATGTGTGAATGCTCAGCTTTGTTAATCAACTTCTTTTTCTAAAAGGCAAGTCATTACCTGTTTACTTGAAATAAGACTATCTTATAAAAAGTAGTCACTTCACTATCTATGTAATTACTGCTCTTAATAAGGCTTTTACTTCTATTTTATCTCTTTCTAAATATTCTTTATAATTAAAAGTTAGTTGATAAAATACTAAAGCACAGCCAGTTTCTAAACAAAACATACTTTTGGTCAATAAATATCTGTCAATGTGTCTTTCAAAACCCCCTACAAAAAGCTCTGGAAATGTTTTCTCATGTATATGTGATGACTTTTTTCTTTTTTAGCCAAAGGATATTTCTAGGCTTCCCTGGCTAAAGATTTCATTCAAAATTTGTTATAAGTTTGCAACATAAAGTTGACAATGGCAAAATGTTGTGCATTTTCCATTGCACTGTGCATTTATAATTTATCCAGCAATATAAAAATAGAAGATTGATAATAATGCATTTTTGCACAAAGTGATTTGAATTTTCCCTGAGTTACATCTTTCAGTGCTATTTGTAGAATATAGACAGGTGATGCGCAGCTGCATTTCCTGTCCTTGACTATTCTAGGAGAGGCAGTTTGGCATGAAGCCTAATTATCTCTGCAATTTTCAATCATAGGTATCTTTATTAAGAATACAGATACTACACACCTACACACTCGGATATTAGCCATGTATCTCTTCATGTAGCATTAAGACAACAAATAACAAACCCAATTGTTGCAGATTAGTCTGCAGAAGTATAGCATAAATAACCATGTTCATCCTCATTACTGCTGATTTCCCTGCATTTTTTTGGCTAAAGAAATGCAATAAGTCTAAATTCATATTATGATAGTCCTCTATATTTTTGGTATTACTATTTAAATTACGACAATCACAGAGACAATTCAGATCCTGATGATATTTAGTTAAATATGAAGCCCCTGGGACACAAAATAAACCTGGATACTGCAACATGATTCTGGTTTAATTTTTTCAATAATTACTTCTATTTCATTTAAATGCATTCTCATTGTTTTGGTGCTGAAACACATTCCCTGAATAAGAAGCAAGTAGCATTTGATTGTGGCAAATTAAAATCCAAATATATTTAGAACTAGAAAGTTAACTAAATTATGATTTCTTAAACACATCTAAGACTTGCCTTGTTAACCTTAAGGCAGCACAAGATTTTTGGAGCAAAGATATTCTACTTGTTTGATTTGAAAAAATACTCATTTCAAATAACATCACCACACACATTTTTGTGTGATGTTTCAAATATTAATCAGAGTGAATATTTGGAGGTTTTTTTAATCATTTGATTTTTCTAAAAACTGGAAAGCCAGTTTAGGGGTATAATTAAAATTTTAAAAGTTTGTTTAATACAAATATTTATCAACATTTTTAATAAGCATTATATCCTTTATGTCTTCAAGAACAAATAGTGTTTTCCATGGAATGCCATCAAATGCCTCTAATAATGGGATCTAGCTGTTTATCTGCAGTGTACCTCCTCTCCAGCCCCACCTCTGCCAATTTGTATGGGAATACTCATAAATGAGAGGATAGAATTTTTTCCTGTCCACTGTTTTAAGAGCACAGTGGTAGTAATGAAAAAAGAACTTTTTAAATTTTTAACACAACTTATAAAATAACTTACCTTCTTTTCTTCTGGGAAATCTCTTTGTTCTGGTTAAAACTACAGAACTGTGGGTAATACTTAATCAGAATACAAAAATGTCAAAGGGGGATTGTATTTGTATACAAAAATGATATTCACGTATGCTCTTAATCAGAATACAAAAATGTCAAAGATATTCACGTATGCACTTAATCAGAATTTGGGTTCGCTTGCATACTTTATATATATATACAGAGGTTAGAAAATATATCAACAATTAAAGTAAGTTTTACAATATGAATAATATCCTTGGGCAATTTTAATACATACTCTTGCCTAGGTTAAATGATAGTTATATTTTACTGTGTACGTAATTTAATAGTTACATTTCTCTTCAAGCATTTCTAACCACTTTATGAGAAAATATTTTTTGTCTAAATATATGCAAAAATATAATTAAGCTAACAGCACTTATAGATAAGGTGGATGACTTAGGACAATTTTCTAGGCTTTGTTTTCTTCATCTGGTTATGTGAGTTGAACTACACAGTGTCTGTGCTTTCCACCAGCTCGATGGTGCAATTAGTTCCAATGAAAATATAAGAAAAAAGCCAAAGTATAAATTGAAACCCCCAAGATCATAGTAAATATTATGTAAGCTAAATAGGCACCTCTATTTACTATTTTATTGGTGGTCCTATTAATATTAAAATTCATGATTCAAATTACTCCATCTGCAAATGTGCCAAACACCCCTATGTATACACGTGTTCTTTAAAACCAAAGGAGACGCTTTTAAAAAAAATCTATAACCACAACCTGTTCAAAAATGAACTAGTCTCTGGATAATTGAGGAAACCCACTGAGATGCAGTATCTCCTTTGAAAACAGGCTCCTTTTTTTTTTTAGGGGAACCCAGCATGAAACAGTAGTTAAAGGAGCTACTACTATGAGCAACTACTGTTTAAAAAAAAAAAAGAAGAAAAAGGAGATAGGAAGAAAGTAAAACATGGAATTGTCAAAGACAGGGATAAAATAAAAAAGAAAGTGGGGGATGAAGGTATAGGGGCTGGGAGCACAGAAACTAACTGAAAGCAATTGCCACCATGTAGCACATTTTCAAAACTGGGGGCCTGATTTGCTGTTAGGCTCAGGAGTGTCTTCCTCCCAGACTCCCAGCTCCAGTAGCCATATCTTTAAATTGCCTGACTCCAACAGCTGATTCAGTTGCCACCGCAGAAATAGAAATTATAGCTTTCAACCCTTCATTTTACCCGTCTTACCTATAATCCTCTAGTTCCAGTCTGTCTGACCACTTGACAAAGTTTTTGAGTGTTTGTGTTTGTTTTGTTTTGGTCTGTTTTTAAATTAGTGCAGCTTTGGAAGAACACGAGCATGCTTTACACACAGAGAAGAGTAGACAGCCCTGGAAACGCTTGATGAGAAGAGGAAAAAAGTGTCCTGCTGGGAACAGAAAATGGCACACAGAGCACACAATAATAATAATTGAGATTGTCATATGTCTTATTAAAAGCCATCATTTACCTGGAGGACTTTCTTGGGGGGTGGGGGAAGCTAAGATGCTTTACAGATTTTACATAAGGATGCTTTTCAAAGCTTTACTGATCTATTTTCATATGTGTGTTGTTTGGTTAGGTCCTTCAAAGGGCTTCAAGATTTACTTTTATATTTAAAAAGAGTGAGGATGAAAGCTATTATTTGAATACAGCAGTGCATTCAGTGGCACCAGCATGCTTATTATAACTGCCCTGATGAGACAGTCAAAGCATTTCATGGATGCCGGTCTCCTCTAATGTGTATTTAGGTGCCCTGTCTGCTGGTTCGCCTAAGTGATGTGGCATACACTTGATGAAAGGACAGTAAACAACATTAATTATAAAAGACATCTGTTAATGAGAGGAAGAAAAGGAAGAGAGAGATTGGGGAAAAAAAATTCTCTGGGATAGAGAGAGTAAAGCATTTTGATTGAACTAAAAGAAATGACGTACCTTAATCATGTTCTAATTTTAGAGTCCAACTAACCAAGCTCACTACTCATCTTTGGAAGACATTATATGTTTCTTCAACTTTTGTGGAATTGTCATTGAAGATGGAACTCAAACTGCTTTCAGTTTTCTTCATAGATTTGTTGGCAATTTTGCCAAGATCCCTGTACAAAACAAAAAAGATATTATGTGAAACTCTGGTCGTGCTAAGCAAATTAGCTAAAATTGATTTTTATCCTCTTATGGGAATGTTTTCCAGTCCAACAATCTAAAGGGATCTTTAGATTTTCACATCCCCAATTTTTTTCTTTTCTAGGGCTACTAATTTGGCACAAGAAAACATTGCTTTTCTTTCTCCATAATTTTTTTTTCCCTCCATAGATAGGCCTTGTTAAATAACAAACAGAGACTCCTGAAAAAATAAGCAAAATAGTTTTGGCTACCTTCAGTATGCTAATTAATTATAAGGACTGGTTTTCCTTTGAATGGATTTCCCATGTGTAAAAACATTTTAAAAAGTTAGATAAAATAAGCACAATTATTAATGCCATCCAAGTTTTATTCTTAAACACATCATTTGCTTTGTTTTATCATCTAATTCATCTAAGGAGAAGACTGATTTATCTTTCGCACAATACTATGCTATCTTTATATCACTCTTCTAGTCTATGATAACAGCTGGAGTTCCAAATAAGAAAAGATTGAATTTGATTAAGCAATATCAGTTTTTTTTTTCTTTTCAAATGGGCTAAATGAAACAAGCATTAAGTGTTTCTTTTCTTTTTAATATTGGGTTGGAGAATCCTGGTATTTTGTTAAAAAAAAATATATCCTCTAAGAGACACTCTTTAGAACGTGTGTTTGCTGATCTCCTTAGGTTAGCCCTTATATATCTCTTTTCGGAATATATTTCTATAAGTTTCATTTCAACAGACTATCAGTATTTTCCTGAATATTTTCCTTATTACAATATATCTTCTTCCCATGGTATTCTATGTTCATTGGCACGCGGGGTGAGTCTATAGGAACTGCTTAAGAAGCACAAGTAAAGCATGACTGACCCTGTTGGCTGAAACTACAAGGAAATGCATTGAACCACTGGCCATGGCTTCCATTGCTAGTCCTGTCTTCTGGGGCAGAGGCGGTGGCCTGGGCAGGGTGGGGAGGGGTGTGACGACACCCACGTCTTCTAACTAGACTTCTGCTGTCACTCCGATTCACCTGGGCTGCCTCAGCTGCTCTGTGCACATCCACTTAGTAGTAAAATGACTAATAAGGGGAGGAAGAGTTAATATGAATAATGATGTCAGCTACACTTTAAGAAATTTTAAATCACACAATATCAGATTCTGAAAAGTGAATTAATACACCAAACAACTGGCCTGTGGTGTGGTGACTTCATAGCTTTGGACTGGTTTATTTTAGTGAATGCACCAGGGACTTGTCATTATCAATGAGACTGAACTGCTCTGCGTACTGAAAAGTTTTAAAGTTTTAAAACACACAAAAAATTGTACTCCCTTCCCTTCCCAGCCCATATGCTCGCATTTTGTCGTCAATGCTGCCTTTTTTGATTGATCCCCAAACAACTTCCTACAATCAGCAAAATTCTTCATATTACAGATTAAGAAACTAAAGCTCAGAGAATCACTAAGATTCCAGAGTGGCTGAAGAGGGGTAGAAAGGCATGCTTCCAGACTTCCAAGCTAGCGCGCCCTCTTGATATTTTGTAAAGAAAAAAATAGATGGGTACTCACTTAGGCTGAGTAATTTTAATACTTCAAATGAAATACCAATTTTATTAATTAATGTTATAAATATCTTGTTTAAATGCTATATAGTATTCTCTTTTGATTGGAAATGGTAACTAGAATGCATCCTAACATGAATATTGTGGGAATAAAGAGTTTGTATGAAATATTGTAATGGAAATAGGGTTTACCTAGTATTCTGTTTTTCCTCTTGGTCATCTCTTATAAGATTATGAAATAATTTGTCTCTTTTCTCTCATATTCCTATTGAAGGAAATTTAAGAATTGCAGGAGCTTGGAAGGGGGTGGGAGAGAATAAAATGTGTCCTTGACTGTTTTTTTAAATCTGTTGTAAAACTTTTTTTTGTTAATTAAAATATCCCCAGTGCAATTTCTTGGTCTATTACCTCTGATAGCTACTATTAATTGTATTTTAACCTGTTAATGGTCTAACATTTTCTAAAACATATTTAGCCAAGTTTTCTGCAAGTGTTGAGTCCCTCTATTAAGAACGGAATGATGGATTTGGGTGGGTATGTAAGCAGGCAGGAAGAAAAGAAAGATCCTCTTCCTTAGAAAATGATGATCTTTCTTTGTCTCCCAGTCCTAGCTTTTAAACCTCCACACCACCTAGCATAGCATGGAGGCCCCCCAGACTGCCCTCACTGTTAAATGCCAGAAGAAGGGACTGTAGAAGCCAAGGCCTTGGGCACACAAGCTAAAACTTGCATGCCTGGCAAGGCCCAGATGCCAAGGTTTGCATCTCTAATAAACCACTCTCTGCCTCTCTGGTAATGATACCCTGGGGCTACTGGGAAGGGATTCTTTTTATAGGAAACATACTCATAAGGATTTAATATTATCTTTCTGAACTCTTTGATTCAATAGTTGGTCCCCCCCCCCATTTTGTAGACCCTGTGATGTGAGCCAGTGTTAATTCTTTATGTTAACAGTAGTATGTAATCAACATCACTCTACTGAGCTCAGGATTCTTTTTTTCTTTTTAGCCATGTGCTTAAAGAAATAAAATATCTTGCCACTGAATGTCTTTTCACAGACTGAAAAGACTTTTAGGTTAAACAACATTTGCTAGGCTTTGATGCAATCAAATGCAATCTCAATCTTCTTGAAATATTCAGCCCTGCCTCTCTGAAATTGCACATATATGTCAGCTTTCCATTTTTCTCACTCGTGTTTTACACATGAAATCTAGTTTCACTGAGAAAATGGAATCTTTGTGTCTTTGTCTCTCAGCGCACTGCTTTCAGGCATGTTCTGGCAGGGCCTTTGACTGTCGAGGCACTGGGGGAGGGGCCTGGCAGTCATTTGTCAGCTTTTCTTGCATCTGTAATTTCTGGCCACTCAGCGGTATTAGAAGGTCTTGGAAAAGGGGGAAGGAGAGTCGGGGGAAGAGCTTGTCACTGATGAAAGCCAAACCCCGAATAACTGCCCGATGTTAATAACCAAAAAGAGAAGAGAGGAGTCTGAAAAACTTTTATTGTGCTTTAATGAAAAAGATTTTTTGGAAATGACTAATTTACAAATTGCACATGGTTCACATTTTCAGATCTCAGTTTGGAAAGCCCTTGCCCATACTGTGTTACTGATTTCACTGCTTTTAGCTTGGCAATGGCTCATGAAATTATTTTAATTTTCCACTAGTGGCTTCTGGTTATTTCTGCTCTTATTTCCCCGTAACAAAACTGACAATCCAATTAAACATTTGTATTTTTTAGTCTGGATTTTCCCCAATACTGTTTTGCTTTTCTTCTAAAATGTCCAGATGTTTTGGCTCCTTTCTGATTTTAATGCATGTAAGTATATTTACTCCTGTTTCAAAGAGAAAGAGCTACATGGACTTATCAGATGTTTCTATATGAAAAGCTTTGAAATATACCAGTAATCAGATCAGTATTTTTGTCTCCTTATGAATACATTTACATTAGAACGTATCTTACTGTCTTTTAGCACTTTACTATTTGAGTTGATCTTTGCAACTTATTTTTGTGGGCTTTTAGAGTTCAGAATTCATATTGTGATCTGCTAATTAATCGTTGCAGCAGATGAGGAAAATATCCAACTCTGTTACTTCAGTGTCAAGCAACAGGGATAGAAACTGCTGTGACTTGCTGTTTATTATTTGTCTTTTCTTTCTTCCTATGAGATATAAGAAGTTGTAAGGTATGTGAAGCAGCAATGTATTTTAGTTTCCTGTGTTGTACAAACATTGAAGGAATCATCAGTATCTTGCCTTGAAGTGTCTGGACAAGAGTTAAAAGAGTCTCTCACATATTTCAAGAAAACCTATTTCCCATAATTAATAACAGGAAACCGGGTAAACAGACTTTTGCAGACAAATGAAACTGAAACAGTAACATATACACAGAAACATGGGAAAAGAAACAATGAAGCATTGTATGATTACACCAGAAGACTGTTTCAGTTACGATGCAGTCCTAATTGTGCAATAATCACATAAAACTCCACTGTAAATGATTATTAACTTTACATTTCTGACCATTTAAACACATGCTTGTAGAGTGCAATCATTTCTCTCACCGATTAGTATTTGAAAGTGATCTCAGGCTACTTATATGTTTAACATTAAGGCAGAAAATCATTATTTCCTGGAATATAGATTTTCTAGACAATGAAGTAAACATGAAAGCAGACAGCCTTCTTCTTCTTCTTCTTTTTTTTTTTTTTCTTAAACACTGTTATGAGATTTTTAAAGTCCCCTTGCTGCACACTTCTGGAAATATGAACATATACAAGGATAATTTTGATGTGCATAAAGCTTTTTGGGGGTGTGGGGGGCAGTTATCTGTACATTTATGAGGTCTCAGGAAAACATCACGCAACAATCACTAATGAGACAGATCACTGGGCCACTTGACCCACTAGTGCTCAAGCTTTTTGGGGGTGTGGGGGGCAGTTATCTGTACATTTATGAGGTCTCAGGAAAACATCATGCAACAATCACTAATGAGACAGATCACTGGGCCACTTGACCCACTAGTGCTCAAAGCTCTGGACAAAGCTACCCCTGGTATTAATGTGTCTTTATCTTCCAATCATATCATAGAGTAGGGACTGTCTGATCTCAGTACTGACCTTGAAAGCAGCAAACTGAGATGATATGTAGTATCCCTGCTTCTTACAAACATTGAATTTCATTTTAATTTGGGGAGTGGATTTAACAGAATTAACTGCTTAAGTTGCAGTTAATTTTTAGGAATGAATTGCTTGATCCTCTAATTGGTATTTTTTGTTACATGTTAAAGGTAATTATCTGAAAACTGTTAAATGTAAAACTAAGCTTAATCAAATGTTTATTTCTGATTTTGCAGGATGAAGAGAACAAACGATGATGTAGTATATTGCATATTAAAGAATGTATTTTGACTCTTCTA